CTTCGTAGCCGTTATAGACCGCGAAAAGCGTTATGTTGCAAAGCGTGGCTCCTGTCGCCTAGCAACCTTTACAACTAACTTTTTTTTCACAAAACTTGAGATTTTAAGGCCCTTGGTTTTAACAGTCGTACTGTTAGCAGTTGAACTGAGCTGAAACACAATACTGACATTGAAAAGTTTAATCCTCAGGCTCTCTGTTGGTGTTGTTTGCTTTCATTAGCGGCTCGCAATGAATCTTGGGATAGGTTGGACCGCGAAGGATCCACCCGTCGGATCCTTCGTCAACCAGGAAAAGAAGGACGCATTTTAAGGAGCCCTCGAAATGGGACAGTCTAATCGCGCCGCTGTGACGCAATTGGTCTTCAAATGCAGCCTCCAAGGGATTACGGCCTCTGAATTGGGACACTGCTAATGTATGCTAAAGTGTTAGCAAGCATCTACAGTAAGGTTAACTTACAATCAAAATCCATTGCAAATGACTTCTTTCAATTCTTTAATTAGCAAATTCAAGCAATTGTTATCAGATATCTGTTAATCTGTTATGGGTTATAATATCTTGGTCATCAACAGATTGTTTAAACTCTCACGTGATGTTATTATATATTATGGGTTGGCTCTAAACCACAGCCAAAGACAAGCGACATGGTTCTCACATCTACACACTTCAACTGCTTGGTCACCAACAATGTGTGAAGTGCTGGTCAAAGAAACAGAAGTGAGAACAGAGAGAGGACGAGAGCAGGAAGAGATTGGCGGCTGCAGTTGTGCGGTGATGAAGAGAGCGGCCATTGTCACAGGAGGAGGAATGAAACCATGACAACCATCCACTCTGTTGGCCAACACTTAGAAAATGAGCGCTGTATGGAGCCTGGGAAACCAGTGTCAAAAAAAAAAAAAGGTTACCTCAACCCCCCTCCCAACACACATGAAAACAGACTGACTAATTGTTCAGAGTCAGCACAGCCTCTCGCCATTCAGCCGCGACCACCACACACACCATGAGGGCATTGTTCCAACTGCACGCTCATAACAACTTAGAGCTTCAAACTCTCCTCTGTGGTCACACAAGCAAACAGACGTACAGCAGCAACCACTTCACATCGCTTCTCTCTCAAGACACGACTAATTGTTTCATATTTTTTCTTTGTGTTGGCACATTTCGTACTTCATTTACTGCACCGAGCCCCTGATTGATGTATTCAATGGTCATACAACAGGAAAACACTCTCAGTCTTATAACAGAAGCTCAAAACTCACAATTAATTTCATTATTTCTTACATCACTTGATTAATTGTTTAGTCAAAATGTCTAAAAATAGTTAAAAATGTAAAAATGTAAAGAGGAAAGCAGAAAATCTTAATCAAAAAGCAGACTATTGCCACTTTTGCTTGATTAACGATTAAATAACGATTAGAATTGTTGTTGACTGACAATCATTTTGGCACTAAAGATAACTGTACTTGCAGATAATATTTTCCAGGCTTTATCTATTTACCTTTATCTCGCCACTCGGCAGCCATCTTTGGCGTCACATACTTTTCTATTCAGGATCTTTAAGTGGTTTGTCTCTGATAACGTCACTGGCTTTATCAGCAAACATACACTTTTCCCGTCCTGCCCACAACCTGTCCATTAAAAACGTATGTATTAAAAGTTGATTTATAATCTATCCCAGTTGTACACTGTTTTTTATTGAGACAAACGATTTGTGTTAATCAATATTTAACATTTAAGTACATTGGATTCTTTTCAATGAAAAAGAAAAAAATATGTTTATGTTCCCCAGAAATACTTAAAGGGTATTGTTTTAGTTTTGGTACTGACACTAAATTATTAATGATAATAATAGTAATAATAACTGCTAATAAGAGACATTGTAAGTTGTTTTTTTTTCTAATGATGGTTGATAATAATAAACACATTTTAAAAAGTGACAGAACTATCCTTTAATAAGTGAACAGAGAAGGTCACTGAATATTTTTTTAATTCAAACACAGTCACTGAAACATAATCCAAGCAAAGAGAATATACAGTAAATCAATGACTGTGATTTATTAGTTGGAAATTTACTTAGAAACAATTTGCCGTTACGTTGTGCTCCTTTGTGTACTAATATAAACTGTATCAGCAATCCCCTGTCATTCCCACACACACACACACACACACACACACACACAGAGTAACAAAGAGCGTGGGCTTGCCCTACACTTGTGGAGGTGGTTTAATGATATACGGACATCCCTGTCTGCCAGCTCAGCACCGCAGCCTTCGATTCATACTAACAGCCTCCAACAAGCAGACTATCACTCTTCTTCAGCCTGCACTACAGCCGCCTGCCCACACACACACACACACACACACACACACACACATCTCTACATGTATATGCACTTAACCACATTCACAAAGTGCACAAACACTCGTCGCAGCGTCGGAGAACACGAGCATTAGAGTCTGTGGGACATTTAAACTTGAGGTTTGTTTCAGGCTTGTGGAGTCACAGTCAGAGACGACGCTGCAGGAGCGTCAGACGTGTGTCCAAATATAACTGCACTTCATTCAGAGTGGGAAAAACCTCAGACAAACAAAGCAAAAACTATGGAAGTTAATGAGTATTAATGTAGAGTTACCATGAACATTACTGGTTAATGTGGTGATCATTTTTTACATGAACTGATTAACTAAAAGTATCGAGCTGACAATTAAATTGTAATGCGAGATAAATGATAACAGTTCTACTGATTGATTTTCTGCCAATCAGCTAAGAGACTGAATCATCAATAGTTGCTGCGTATCCTGATAATTGAATTGCATTTTAATTAAACTTCATAATTAAGTGATTTCTTCATGATTTATCATTATTTCTAATTCATTTTCAGAGTTTCTAAAGGTAGTTTTTAGAAAGATAGATATATAGTTTATTTATCCCCTAGGGGAAGTTCACACTTCCAGTAGCTCGTTTGTAATAATAATAATAATAATAGTTCGTAATGAATAATAAACAATAATAGTTAAATTAGTCCAGTTCATTTAATGTCAGTTGAAGAAAGCGTGTAGATGTAAAACAACTTACAACAACTTGTACACCTGTCTCAATCACAGTTTGCACGCCTAGTCATTTTACTGGCAAAGTTAGAAACCTGTAACATATACTGTATGTTGAATTAATCAGTGATTAAAATGAACCTGGTTCCAGACCTCTACATCACCACCGACATTTCCAGTTTGCTCATGTTTCACATAGCGCAGGTGCTACTTAGTTCATAGGACAGAAAGTTGTCCTAGGAGCAGAGCGGGAGGAGAGTGTGAACCTTTAGTCCTCCACAGATTCAGATACTTTCATTAATCTCGTTAAAGAAGAAAACAAATTGTCTGTGTGTCTTTTTGCGAGTTAAATGCACACTTCTGCAGCTTTACTCCATCTGCTAAGTAGAAGTATTGTGTGATTAATACAGCAGCAACAGAGCCAGCAACAATCCAACTCCAGCAGCCAGCTAATTGGTTGGTTATGAATTATTCACCCACCGAGGGAGCAGAGCGGCGAACGGCTCCTACCTGCTGGAACCGGACGAAGACACCTTGATCATTTTTGGCCGCATGTGATCACAGATGGTGGGGGTGTCTGAAAGTGTGGGGGGGTGGGGGGGCCTGGCCTGAGCCGTCCAGACGGTGTAGCACGAAGCTGCGCTGACTACAGAAACAAATCACTGTGACGTTCACGCAGGAGATGAACGCTGCTCATCAGTGAGCTGAGAGGAGGATCTGTCATTCAGCCGACCGTCACTGATGTTAATGGATCACCACAAACTGCAGCCTCCAGGATGACCACGAGGACAAATCAACACGTCTCTCACATTAGGAACATTAGGAGGATTTATTGCATTGACTGCATTAGTTTTACCTAAGTGTTCCTAATAAACTGACAGCTGATATCACTTTGATAAGAAAAGTTTGTGGTTTATTGTTATTTTCTTGAAGGATTTTTATTGGTTTAACTAACTCAGATCAGATATTGAACTTGAATTTCTTTTTAACCTGCAGACCAGTTTAATAACCATCGCCCACACAGCTTGACTTGGTTTTCCAATGATCACTAGGGGAGTTTCCAGTATTTTGTCAACTGTATTTATGTCAGGTGTCGTCTAAAGAATTGAAAACCTCTCATAAAAGGTATTAAAAAATCAATCAAACACCACAATCCACTGCCTCCAAGTTTGAAACAGAAACAGCCCCAACAAAACCTGAACAGATTTTTTACCAGCATGACTCATGAAACACTTGACCATGAAGCTGGGGATGACACTTTTACACAAGTAGCCAGTGACAAAACATCCACAAATAAACTGATAACAGGCTACAGTAGGCTTACATCATCAGCACCATGAAATATCAGCCCGCCTGCCATCTTATAACCCTCTGAGAGCGGGTCCAGACACAGACCCAGCAGCGGGCTGCATCACCAAACAAATATGCAGAAATGTGTGATGTTGCAGCCGCAGTGTGTGTGTGTGTGTCAAGCCATGAGTTCAATGTGGTGTGTGTGTGTGTGTGTGTGTGTGTGTGTGTGTGTGTGTGTGTGTGTAGGGACCGGACAGTGCAGCATCACCATCTCTTCTGCAGAGAGCGGGCCCATGTGACAGATGGATGCTATAACGGAATTAGAGACAAGAAAAATCACAAGGGCCCATTATCACCGAGCCCTCTCTGCCTGACAACAAGGATTAAAGGCGCACTACCACCACCACCACCACCATCATCATCATCGTCATCGTCATCTCCCCCTGTATTCAGCAAAGCCGCATCCACCAGAAACATCCGCAATTATCAGGCATTTCCCTCCGCTTCCCCTCTCCCGCATCGGCACATTCAGAACACGCAGCGCCGACGCAAGAAATTGCAAACCCGTCATGATGTGAGCGAGCCAGGCGCGGCGATGCTGAGGAGAGTCCCGACAGCATCATCCGCATCTGGGAGGTTTCAGAGGGGGGCTTTCACTAACCTGTCTGTCCTTTGCCCAGCGTCTTCTCCAAGCGGTACGGTCCCACATAGTTGGCGTAATGCCCGCTGTTGGCGTCCTTGCCCGACGATGACATTTTGTGGCGTGAACGGACTCAGCAGGGAGTAATTTTTCTCACGGGTGTCCGAGTGGGACGCGTCTCTCTGGGGGCGAAAAGCGCAGTTCCGCGGGGCAGTGGAGTTCGCCTCGGTCGGCGTTCCCGTGTTCTCTGAATGCTGGTCGCTGCAATATTCGTCTCTCTCCCCCCAACCCCTACCTTGTGTGCGTGATTGCGTGTGTACGTGTGCGCGCGCGTATGTCTCCGCGTCCCGTAGCTCGCGGTCCTCCGCCGGTCTTGTCCTCGGTGCGGCTCAGATTGCGGTTTTGAATCTGGGTGTCATGGTGTTGGTGCCGGAGGAGCGGTGCGCTGCAGCCCCGTTGGGTGTGATCTGATGATGGGACAGCATCTACTGCCGCTGCCTGCCGCTCCAGCAGCCTGCGTCAGCGCACAGTTGATGTGAACGGACACTTCCGGTCCTCCCTTTCAAAATACAGGCCGGTCACCTCGCTGACGGGACTGCTGCAACGCTTGTTTGGTGATTGTCAAAGGTGGAAATGAAGAATCCATCACTGATCTTTGATTAATTGTAGTCGTTTGATAATATATTTATTAACAATTAACAACCTATTTTTCCTACAAAGTAGAACCAAATCCCCAGTTAATTTCCTAATTAATCAATTAATAGTTTGGCCTACAAAATATTAAAACATTATATGATGGGGGGGAAACATCAAAACCATCAGAATTTACAAATTTCAAAGTCCTCAAATGTGAGAACCTTGAAAATGTTTCACTTAAACGATGAATCAAAATCAAAATATATAAATTACATATCACAATAGCTGCTGATTTTTTAAATCAATTTATGACAACAAATAAATTGTTAATTGTTTTGTTTTGATTCTTAATTATCTAACTAGATTTTATAATGTTTCAAGCTGATTTTATTCAGAAATTACAGTATTTTTTTCTAGATCTTGGCAAAGAGTCTTTACAAAATTTTATTTCTACATTTCACCAATGCACAGTTGTGCACTAAATGTCCTAATGTTTGTTTGAATATCCCATTAAAACATTCAAAGTTTCAGTCCTCAGGACATAAAACAGAAAAGGTTTTAGTTGCAAATTATCGCAGCTATAATAATCAATATTTTAGCCATATCTGATTTCATTATAGATTTAAAAATTGAAATGAAAAAAAGAACTGTATCATTCTGTTATTAGTACAATACAAAGCTACTTGTTATCATCATAATTTTAATGATTATCAGTGAAGGCTGGTGCTTTGATTTGCAGTTTAAAACCATTCATGGACTAACTTTTTCTGTTGGCAAAAAAAATATCGTTTTAATTTGAAGGCCAAGTCGTCTAACTTCCGTTGCCGTGTCGTCTTGACGCAGCTGCTTTAATTAGGGAACACGCATGCGCACAGGATCGCATGCAGGGGCTGGTGATTGAATTCGGGTGGAGGTGACAGGGGGAGATGAGAGGCTGCCACTCTTCAAAACTTCTCTTTTTTTAAAGTCTATAAATAAACCAGAGCAAAATAAAACACGTTAGAGGCCGCAGAGACCTAGAAATTTCCCAGAATGCACCGAGAAGACTTTGCACTGTGTCTGCTGTCTCATTAATAAAGCAAAATAAAAATCTTAAAAAAGGATAAATGTCTATTTTTTGAGGCAGATTTGTGATTGTTTGAGTGATTTGTAAATGTCTTCTTTAATCCGTTTAGCCAGACTCTCGCTTGTTAATTAAGGATGAAGAATAATTTATGTCACTGTGTGTGTGTGTGTGTGTGTGTGTGTGTGTGTGTGTGTGTGTGTGTGTGTGTGTGTAAACACGTTACACACTTGGACACTTTCACTTGATTAAGCCAGCGGTTGGTGACAACGAACATCTATCTGTCTCATCACTCCTTCACAACAAAAGCCTTTTGACCCAGCACACTCAGTGGCAGATGGGCACCCCACCTCTTCCCCTACCTCCTCCCCACTCCCTCCCCCTCCTTCTGCCTCCTTTTTCCTTATCTACCCCCTCCCTACCCCCCTTTCAAATGTGAGTCCCTAACAAAGACAGGGGGGGCCTTCATTTTACCACGTTAGACCTGGTTGCCATGGGACAGCTTTCTCCCAAATTACTTCCTGCTAATTAATGTAAAGCCACCACCCTCCATCAGCGACACAGGAGGAGGTGATGACCCCCGTCCACAGATCAATCATAAATTTTCTCTTAGATCCACACCACCATGCGTGCTCCTCCAGCCTGATCTCTGCCGTCCGATCCCCCGGTGGCTGTCACACTGTTTGGCAGCTGCAGATGGCACCGCGGCTGTAAAGCTGCACCGTCCTAATCACCTCGATGTGGAATAATCTGCTATAATCACCCCTGCCTCTGAAGACAGGGCGCAACACTCATGTCTGTGTCAAAATGTCCCTTTCTACCACAACAGCTGAGTGTTTCATGGTGGTTGAGTCGTGAGGATAAGTCACATTACGGAGCGCTCTAACATGATCTGCCTATCAAAAGTCTTCTTTTGCACTGACACCCCTAAATTATTCATATTCTCTGCATCATATGAATTCTACACTTGGACGGTAATAATCTATAATCTATGACACAAACTTCATCAATATCCATTCTCACATTTTGACTTGTAATCACAATCATTTTCATTGACATCGCAGCCATTACCACACAAACAACCATTATATCATTTCTAACTCGAGTCATGAAGCTAATGACTTTAATAGGGATGCCCAGATTGATCGGCCGCAGATCGTTATTGGCCGATTTTCATTAAAAATACATGATCGGTAGATGTGAATTAATGCTTCTAGTCACTGATCACCTGCGGTTAATACTCTGGTGTCTGCGGCTGTCAGAAGCACCAGAGAGCCCACCAATACAAAACAACATGTCGTCCGTGTGGAACTTCTACAAAGTGTGTGAGACTGATATAACATACAACATCTGCAATGCATGACAAAAATGATCAGTATCGGCTGTAGATCGGCTTTAGTCTTGCAGGTTTTTGGGCGTAAACAAAAGTGTTAGGCAAATTGACATTGAGTTAATGGTCAGTGTCTGACAATTGATTGAGCGAATGACTGAGACAAATGTCATGGCAGTCCGTCCAATAGCTGTTGAGACATTTCAGTCGGACCAAAGTCACGTCACCTGTACCTTTGTCTGTTGACATGATAGATCAAAAAAAGATTTTAAAAATGGCACCATAAATAAGTGCAGCAGATCGACTCTTCACAACGGATTTACTGCAATTTGATCCAACAGCAGCCAATCACGTAGCACAAACAGAAGGTGGGTTTGGCAGTGCAGAGCAGCAGACAGTAAGTTACTTTCAAAATGAAATTTGTCTGGTTAATGTGGTTTCTGTTGCCTGGTTTCAGCCACAGGTCATTTGTGAGGTAAACGAAGCACCACATCAGTCTACGGTTGGGAATGGAAGATGTGTTTTCGTAGTTCAACAAGGTCAACAGAGAGATGAGCCAGTATTGGATGAAGTGGCTTGCAGTCAGTAGCAGCTGTTATTTCGATGTGTTGAATGGACTTCCTGTATTTTCTGCTGCTCATCGTTTAATTAGTCTTTACTGTCACAGGTGAGCACAACAAACTATAACCTAGTTCCATCTTATTCCTCATCATCTTGTTGTCTTGTATTCTACGTAAATGTCCAACTTTACAGCAGAAATAAACATGTTTACTGCCTGGTACAAAAAAAAGAGTTTTTTTCTCTATAGCTAATTTTCAAGAGTCAGACACTGCCAAGATGGCGACTGTGGAGCAGCTCACTCTGAGCTTCAAAACCTGTAGGTTACATCCATCTTTATTTACAGTCTATGGCACAGACTCAAGAATGGAATCTATCTTCTCATCTAAGGCTACGTCCACACGATCTCCGTCCAAGCGACTGTTTTAACTCCGTATTAGAAACGATCTCCCTCCATACTAACACACCTAAAAACACAGATCACGTGACCATTCACGAACACTGGGCATGTGCGAGTCACAGATAATACTATGAACAAAGGACAGCAAAGACAGTTGTAGCATTCCTCGAGTTTTCAGGTAAAATGAGGCCCACAGCGTTTCCAAAAGTCTCTGTTTTAGGAGTAAACGTTGCAAAAGACATGCTTTTAAAAACTAAAATATTAGTGTGGATGTGGCCTTGCTCAGCAAGAAAAGCAAATACATGAACTTCTCTTTTAACCTCCGATATCATGCTGCTGTTGGGGGCATCGGATCAGAAAATTTTGGTCATTTTAAAAAGGTAATGACGAACATATTTTGCACTTTGCAGTGGGGAAATGTCGTAGCAGTTGTATTTACTTCACCTTCACCAAGTGAATCCTCACGTCACCGCAGTTCCATTTAAATGAATGATGACGACTTCGAGCTGAATTTCTGGCTGCAGTTGCTGCTGGAATCCTCAAACGCTGTCTTCCTCCTCCTCCTCCTCCTCCTCCTCCCCACTGACATAATGAGCTGTGTCTGAGGAAGCCATTAGCACCAGAGACAAATAGATTACATCAGCACAAGATGTACACACTTAGGGCACACACACACAAAGCTATTGCCAGAATTAGCCTTCTATCAGACAGCGCTGTGGATCTGCCTCATAATTTTGCAATTCTCCCGAGGCTATTGTGAATGTTGTAGGTGTGTGTTCGTGTGTGCTTAAAACTGGTGACGCACATTTCCATAGCATTGCATGAAGAGGGAGATATAAACATTGTAGGAACGGGCCACAGAGTGCACCCTTCACTTTTCAGGACGTTTCTGGAAAAAGAAAGCTTAGCCTGCAGTCTATTTCTGCATTAGTCAGCTCTATTGTGGCTGTCTTGCCAGCAGAGCAGGATAATACAGACACACACACACTCTCTCGCACACACACACACACACGTACAGTTCGCACACATATTTCAAGCCAAAGAAGCCAAGGGAGAGAAGATTTCTTCTGACAGCAGACTGATAAAAGAGCGAATCACTGAGATGAGACGAGGACAGAAGATTTGTCCCAAACTTCACAAGGAAAAGTTCAGCGGTGGGTTTTAAAGAAATGTCCTTTAAATGCGTCTTTGTCAGAAACATCACAGTGGTGCTGGTGGAGTCTCGAAACAGCACATTAATCAGGGAAA